TTACATTCTCCCAGCTTCTCTTACATTCTCCAAGCTTCTCTTACATTCTCCCAGCTTGCTCTTACATTCTCCCAGCTTCTCTTACATTCTCCCAGCTTCTCTTACATTCTCCCAGCTTCTCTTACATTCTCCCAGCTTCTCTTACATTCTCCAGCTTCTCTTACATTCGGCAAAGTAGACTTATTATGAACTTCTAATAACATTGCGTTGTCCTTCACTGCTATAAGTGTTCGTTAAGGTTTGTACCGTACCTGTTCTTTCTCTTCCACGTCCTTCTCTTACCACTGCCTCCTACCACCTCCTTCTCCTCCCACCTCCTCCTTCTCCTACCACTGTCTCCTTCTCCTCCCCCCACGACACAACGACCCACCCACCCTCACCTCACCCCCACCAGCAGTGGCAGCGAGTGTGTGTATGTGGTGTGTGTGTGTGGCGTATTGTGACTCGGTGTCGTGTGTGATTGTGTGTGTGTGTTGTGTGCTGTGTGCGTGTTGTGTGTGTGTGTTGCCGTGCGTGTTGCGTGCGTGTGTTCGTGCTTGTGGCTGGGTCTTTTAGTGTTGCTGTGTTGTGTGTGTGTGGGTGTGAGATGTGCTGTGTCGTCGCTCGCGTGATGATAGATGCGTGTTGTATGTATTTTGTCGTCAGGCGATGTCTGTCGTTGCCTGTGTGTGATCGATGGTTGTACAGTGTGTGTGTGTTATGGTGTGGTGTGCGTGGCGTGCGTGCGTGCGCGTGTGTTCACCGGTCGGCACGCGACGGACCGACGTTGTCATGTGTTCACCTTGAAGGCGTGTTTTATCAGCGTGATCTGACATTCATTCATTCATTCTTTCTCTCTATAATTGCCTGCAGTAGCATCATCATCATCATCATCATCATCGTCGTCATCATCATCATCATCATCCTCGCGGCTACCGTCCGTACGGCGGCATTCAGCATCTGCTGACGGACGGACGGCCCTCAGGGTCAAACCCATCCGCAACTTGTAAAAGTAATTGTGGATAAAATTATGATGACAGTAGAGACGGGACGTGCTAATGGAGACGGCCGCCGCCGCCGCCGCTGCCGCCGGCGTGCGGCTGCTGCATGGACAAGTAGCCGCCACCCCCCCCCGACCCCCGTCCGTCGATGGTCGGCGCGCACCGGATACGTGGCTGGTCGCAGACGACCGGTGTACGGCGCGTGAGTGTATGTGTGGGCGTGGAGGGAGATGTAGATGTGTGATCGCTACCTTATCTATATATAGATATATATCAAGATTCCATGATAGAAACGTCCATCTAATCTAGATTCTAGAATAGTATAGAATAGTCCATACTCTATTATAGACTCTTGACATATATATATAT